CCGGTCCGAGCCTGGGTTCTGCTCCAGCTGTGCCACCCTTGGGCTGAGAGCTGCCCACCCGTGGAAGGCAGCAGGTCGCTGACACTCTGGCTTGGGTGGAAGAGCCACAGGTCAGAGTGGGAGAGCCTTGGGGTCCCCGTGGTGTGTATGTCATTTCTGTTGTGCTCATGAACAGCACGGCGGGTGGATGAGGGAAGGACTGGTCTCCCACAGAAACCTTACAGACCGTAAGAGTGGAAATAAGGAGAATATTTCAAATTAGAATATCAGTGGAGTTATTAGAAGCTAAGTAGAAAAGAATCACATTGTTGAATGGGTGTTTCTTGCAGTTAAATGTTGACAGTATATACCTATGCTATACATGAGAATATATGTCCTTTTAACGTTTTCATTGGGCTAACTTTTGAATTTGAAACAACTTTAAATTGACTTAATTCTTCCTTTTGATTGAACAGATGTTAAAAGTAAACAGGAACATTTGTTTCCCTTTCCTCATTTAATTTTGGAAGGAGAACCTATTCATAGTTTCAACTGTTATTTAAGGACAAAATCGATTCTCTTGACAGAAGATGGGGCAAGTACTGCTGCTGGTCAGTTGTTTGTGCAGAAACCTCCAGAGAGGTCAATGAGTTTATTCTCCCTTTCCTCTCTAGCAGTACATGGGCAGGCTGCAGCCCCAGCCTTGTCATAGCCTGCAATAGCTGTTCTTCATCTCCTGCATGCAGCTGCTGAGCTGCTAAATCGAGATAATGGATCCCACAACCTACTTTGCAACCAAGCGTTACATGACAGCGTGCTCGGGGCCCTGCCGGCATTCTTGCCTGGAGTAAAGGGGATTTCCTAGCGGCCTTGCAGTTGCCGTGCTCACGCTCCCTGATTGGGGTTACCTCGCGCTCGAAAGCTTTGGAGTTATTCTGGTTCCTCTCCCCGAGGGCGACTGTCTCCCTGCGACGTTAAGGCGCTGCCTCGCGGTGCGTGTGCAGCCAATTAAACCCAGTGCTTTTCCTGACCCTGCTAAAATTACAGCGTGATTAGTCACCGAACAATAGCGGAGGGAGAGACTGCCAACTTTTGAAAATGATGAGGAAAATCTCTGCCTGTGACTCCTTGCTAAGGTTATTCTGGTAACTGGGTTTTTGTTTGTTAAAAAATTATCATCCCTGTAACGGGGAGAGAGGGTGGGAAGAGGACCGAGGCGGTCCTGCCACCCTGTGTCCCCACTGCCCCCCACCCTTACTTTAGTGAGGGTGTTCCTCAAGCTGTTTTTTATGGGAGTTGCTTCATAGGTGGAAGGGTGCGAGACTTGTGATGAGCACCGGTGTTGTTTTAGTTACCAAGACTGTGATGTTTGAGAATATACTAACCAATTGGTTTGGGAATTCATCCATAAAAAAGTAAACGTTAAGGTATTCGGTTATTATTATACAGTATAAAAATATTGTGCTGGATGGCTAAGCAGTTACTAGGACAACAAGGGGGACTTTGCCAAGGATTTTTTAACCACTGTAAGCAAACGGAAGAAACCTTGAGTTTAAATAGCCCATCTGGCCGTCTTTGGCTTTCCCAGGAGAGCCGCGCTAAACTTCTGCCACATACATTGTACCCTGATGATAGACATAGCCCACGGCAAGGGGGCTGAGCGAGGAAAGCAAATGGACCTCTGTGGCAAATCCCCGGGGGAGGACGGCATCCCGGGGCGAGCCCCATGCCTGCAGCCCGCGCCCCGCTCCCAGCAGGGACCGGCCGTCTTCGGAGGCTGACTGGGATTCCCAGCTTTAATGTGGGTCCGCGCTCTTTGCAAAATAGACCTTTGACCTGCAATTTACGGCTTTTATCACATTTTAAAGCTACGTAGCTGGCCAGCTCAGGGCGGTAAATATCGCGCGTTTCGTGGGGATTCTTATTTTTGTGTTTGTTCAGCTAAGGCGGGAACAGCAGCTCTGTGCTGCGCCGCGGCTGATTATTTAAAAAACAAATGGCAAAATTGGAGTATTTTAAAAACAACTTGAGGCCGGTAGTTCTGGGTGGCCCACAGAGCCGTTTCTGAGAAACCTGCTTCATGTTTGTTACGGTCTAGGAGACCCCCACCCCTCCTCCATAGGAGCCAGTGCTGACCATGAGATGAAAGAGAGAGATCTGCGTTTTAGTGTGTGTGTGTCTTTGTCTGAGAGGCAGAGATGCTGGCTGGCATGTAATTACTTTTCTCATTTGCTCTTGCAAATTATTTGCCAAACTTTCTGTGGAAAGATAACTTCATCAAAAAAAGTTTGATGGGGTTTTGGTTGTTTTTTGTTTTTTTTCTTACAACTATGAGAGGCCTTTTATATCTTTTCAGAAAAGTTCAAACCATGCACCTATAAAACTTGCATTTGAATGCATTACTGCATCACTCAGAAATAACTACAGAAATAGAAAGAGACACAGTGACTTACATTCTTCCAGCCAAAGCACTCTTAGAAATAAAATAGCATTTCAAAGTTTTGCAATTTAAAATATTTTTCAGCTGTATTTTGGCTCTGGGGTTTGTTATAATAAAAAATAACATCTGTTTTCCAATTTTAAATTAAATTTAAAACAACATGTTTTTCTCATTAGTATTGTTTATCTGCACTATCTGCTAAACTTGGATGTCAACTCTTCTGCTGAAGTAATCTGATTTAAGTTCACAGGATTAGTAGCATCTATCAACAACCACAGAGCTTTTGCAGTAATAGCAAATACAAGAGAAATGTTTACAATCGTTATCACACGTTAAGTTTAAACTTCATCTTTTACTCCCCACTGCTGTTGGACATACTTCGCATCTATTTTTGAGGCTTAATTTGTGTGCGTTTTTAGGAACTTTTGCGATCAAAGCATTTAAATATTTTTCCTTCTGACTTCTTATAGCGAGGATACCTATTGGGTGGTGGGGTTTTTGTTTAAAAAAGTAGATAGGTCACAAATGCCCTTTAGGGGCTGTACTAAGCACGCAGCCCTGCCTGCATTCCTGGCTGTTTGGAGTTGGGAGAAATGTTGCTTTTCCCAGTGAGTAACCGCTGCGTAGGATTCAGTCGTTAATTGGGTTGTTGGGTACATCAGAGGGTCGGTGTGTCCGGCCGCCTGGCTCCTTGTTGATTTCCATCCCTCCTTGCCTCCTTTGCTCACCTGCAAGCTTTTGCTCCTGAGGTCTCGGTGTGTCTTTGCGCTAAGGCAGGTTTCGGTGGCGAGGGAGGCTGTAAACAACCCGCACGCTTCAATGCGAGCTCCTCGCTGGCTGGTGCTCTCCTGCTGGAGGAGTTCAATAGGTTGCCTCATTACAGACTTTCTGGTGGCTTATGGAGCTTCACCCTGTGCATCCATATGTCTCAGCTGGTGGCTGTGTCACTCCCGGGTTATAACCAGCGAGGGCAAAACAGCTGAAAGGGGGTTGCTGCCCTTTTAGTGGAACAGCTTCTCAGGTTAGGTATTAAACAAGAGCCCCATCTGTCTATTTTTGGTGGCTCCTGAGGGGAGAAGGGAGGTGAAGGCGGTAATTCAGTCTCTGGGCTAAATGCAATCTCAGGTCTCTCTTCTCCGAGAGCTACATTTTTCCCTTGTGTCGTGCCGGTAGACTCTATCAAAAAAGAAAAAGGTTTGCGGCCCAAGGCTCTCTATGATCGATTAACAACTCCTAATGGCTCCGCAGCAGAGCTGAGCTGTTCGGAGCAGGGAGTTACGGCTTTTGCTGTTCCTGCGAGGGGCTGAGGGTTGGGGAGGGGAGAGGACCCCGTTCTCAAAGGTGGTAGGAGAAGTGGAGCCAGTGGGCTTCAGTGAGGGGAGACAGCGTCTCTCAGGACAAGGCTCGCACTTATTGTTCAACAAAAAACTGAAAGTAAAGAAACCCTCATTACTTCCACAACGCTGAGGATTATTCGGAGGGGTGGGATAGCCTAATATTCAATCAGACCCGAGGTGGCTCCAAATTCCTGTCTAAATTTCAAGTTTTTCTTTTTATTGCAATAATGAAACGCAGGGTGTAGGAATGATGAATTATCACTTTCCATATATTAACATGTTATAGAGCTGATGACAACCAAATCGGTCAACATATGGGAAATATTACAAATATGCCATATCCTTATGATATAATCGCATGATGGAAATTATTTTCCGATACTATGTTTTAGTAATTCACATAATTTTTCATTTCAGGCAGCAGTTTTACAACATCATCAGGAATATATGCAGGAAATAATTCACTCACAAATTCTACTGGATTTAATAGTTCACAGCAGGTAAATTTGTAAATATGAGTTGAGGAAACTTTGGCAAACTGAGAATTCTCATCCGCTGAAAAAATGTAACCCTTAAATAGCTTTTTGAAAGAAATTAGCATCCTTTCAAGTTAAACTAATGTTTACAAATGTTTTTCTTCAATTTGTCATCTTCCAATAGTAGAATTAGTTGTCTGGGGTTGATGTTCTTATTTACACATCTTCAGCAGTGTGTCTAATAAACTATTTGTGTGAGAAGACATACTAAATTATGTGTAATTTAGATTTTGTTTTACTGCCTCACAGTTTTAAGTCCTACAGCATCCAGTTCAGGAAGCATACGTGCTGAAAGTCTGACATGTGTTTGTAGTTATATTTTGGAATTTAGACTGAAAAGTAGCAAAACTTTGATGGACTATTCAGTTGCTGTTTTGTCTTGCAGGAATATCCCTCTTATCCCAGTTTTGGCCAGGGCCAATATGCACAGTATTATAATAGCTCACCATATCCTTCACATTACATGACAAACAGCAACACCAGCCCAACGACACCCTCCACAAATGCAACATACCAGCTTCAAGAACCACCATCTGGCATCACCAGTCAAGCGGTTACAGATCCTGCAGCAGGTAATTACATGGATTTTATGGTCCCTATGAGGCACGTTTTTGCAAGTTGAAAGGGGGTTGAATTGGATTTTTTTTTTGGTGTAGTCGTTGATTTTTTTTTTTATTATTACTTAATCCTGAGCCTGTAGCACGTCTTGCACAGATTCTAACAGAAAATAGGCGAAAGAAAAAACAGGATCAGTAAAAGTTTTGAACCTTGTGCGAAATACAAGTTGTTTGCATTTATTTGTAAAGTGCTTGTGTTAAAAATTGCAGGATATGGGAAAGTCTTTACGCTAAACCAGAACCTGATGCTTTTAAGCTCTGTCTTCATTAAGATTAACTTATTTGATATTCCCTAAGTAGGACTGAAATCAGGAGGCCTTCAGACCATAGCTTAACTGTCCACTTAAAAGAGAGCTTTTGTATTTTTCACTTTCAGAGGACACAATAATACTTGTAATGGGGAGTTGAAATTGCACAAGTGTTTCCATTTTAATAAAAGATTTTCAGTGGCTTGTCCTTTTTCCCAGTCATTTTACCTTTCTTGCTGGAATTTGGCAATCCTTTACTAGTTGAGATATTTTTTGAACATTTATGCCAAACTGCTCCAGCTGGTTTTGGAAATGAGGGGTGAAAAATACTTTTCCCATTATTAAAAAAAAAAAAAAACCAACATTTTTAACAGTTCAAGCATGTCAGTAGTTAGTAGATGGCAGAAGCTTGAAATCTGCCAGAGAGGAAGTCCAAGGTCGCAGATGTGTTTCTCAGTAACGCAGTAAGAAGCAGCTATGATTTGGCAATGTTATCAGGAGGTTTTGTTTCAGAGTTTTGTTGGGGGAGGTTGTTTTTCGTTTTCTTGAAGTACTTGATGGGACTGATCTTGCACATGCAATGTGAGCTTTAATATAATTTGCCAGGACTCTCTTGCTTTTCTGCATGAGTGTGTACCTAAAAAAAAATGTATGCAGTGTTGTCTCTTTTGATACATTTGCTAAAAGTAAGTAGGGAAGAAAACACAACTGGGGTGTGTGTTTATATACGCGTGGTCAGATGTGTGTGCAATGTATTTGAGAAAGGAATCTTTCTAAATATATGAATGCATATTGCAGTCTGCGTCTTTCAGAATATATGGATGTGTATTGGAGTCTGCATAATTACTCTGCTTTTCACTTTGTTTTTAATTTTTTGGTTTTGTTTTCTTGTGGGTTTGTTTGCTTTTCTTTTTAAGTTGAAAGCAGTACGTTCCTCTTACCCCCCGAAACAAAAGTGATCAAGTTGTAGCTTTTATCAAGATACTAAAATTGAGTCGTTGTATCATCTAAGTCTTGATCTTCTGCAAAATCTTTGCATGTATTTTTTTAAAGTGGTTGATACTTCCTAAAAGCAACAGTTAAACACATATACAGACAGAAGAGGTATATTTTTCCCAAGCTCAAACTTAGTGGCTTAATGGTTGTCTTCCTATTTAAATGATTTTCTGTGCTCTATAAGCCTGGACAGAACTTTTCTATCAGTTCCAGAAGTCTTTCTTTTCTCCCTCAAGTGTGCCACACTCTTGTTAAGAAAGTTTTTTTCTAAAAATTTGAAAGAATTTGGTGGGCTTTCTCATGGATGGGTCCTCCATCTAAGCCGTCTTCTAGTTTATCTTCTGTGTATTGAAGGCTGTACATCCGTGGGTGCCCTACCACTGCTTGCTTAGACATAGCCATTCCTTGGACATGTGTCAGTCTCCTCTGGTACTGCTGTGACTGCCTCCTCTTTACCTGAGGTATTTATGTTACTGATTTAACAATTCTGAAAAAGTTACTTCAAATGGTTTGCAAATATCAACGCTTAATGTAGCTATGGGGTTATCTTGGGCTGGCTGACTGTACCACAGGCAGGGACACGGTTAGGGAAGTACCTGCAGTAGGCCACTCTTTATTAGGAGGAGCTCACAGAAGCCATCTTTCTGTTCCCCTTCACTAACATGGTTGCAGTCAGCAGAAAGTACAGGGCTAAACCCAGATTTCTCAGTTTATTTTACACACTTTTCATTATGCATTTAAGTTAGTTTCAAGCCCATTTAGGATTTTGCTGTATTGAGTGGAGAGAGATGAGTACCTCTATCTAGAGTTCAGTTTCACTACAGTCTTAATCCTGACTTAAACCTCTCCACTGGTATGAAAGCAGTTTAAGGTGGCTGACATACCAATGTTGGGTCCCTAGGTTAGAATTAGGTGAGAACCTTTTGCTGCTTCACAAACCTTCACCCCTGGTAGAAGGGAAGTGAGGACCAATCAGTGAAACCAGTGCTGTGCCTGCCATTTCCCCTTGGACAGTGTAAATTTTTTCACTTTCTTCTTGCTGAGGCTTATTGCAAAGCTTCAGCTGAGCTCATACGCAGTATGCTCAGGAGACAAAGCCAAGTTGACATCAAAGAAAACAGGGGTCAGCACAGAGGAAGGGAAATCTGGTGGAGTGGGGACAAGTGAAAGGCACATTAGAGAGAAGGAAATTCACAGTCGGGTCAAAAGCACAGAACAAAGGAGCAAACTAACCAAGTTTTAATTACAATTAGTCAAATTTCTGTAGGACACTTTGCCTTATCTGGTGAAGTTAGGCTGCTGATTCTCTGCCGCAGCTGGAACTCTGCATATGTGGGATGATGGGGAGCAGTGCAGAGCAATCACATTAGGCTACTGTGCCCCTTTAGTAGGATGGGCTCCAGCTGCTGAATTGCAGCTGTTCTTACTGAATGCTGATATCCCTAGGCATCCTCTACATTTGAAAAACCCCATGTAATCTGTGTGGTTCTCAACTATACCAGGACAAGCACAGAACAGCCTTCAGACTTTACAGAGGCACCAGAATAATTTGACAGAAATAGGTGGTTCCTATGAATTTGGGCCAGTAAGTGAAACAGAAGAGCCTGGTGAGAAACATGTGAAAAGAGAGAAAGTAATTATGTGCTCTTGTGACATTTTTAGTAGAGTTTTGCAGACTCAGAAAGCTCTGATAATTTCACTTAAAATATGTTTAATTCCTTGTCCAAATATAAAATAATCCTTTTATGGTTTCCCACAGTTCCTAGTTAAATATGCAAGTTTTTGCCATGCAATCCAGGACATCCGGGGATTCTTGCAGAAGAACCTGAGATTTTCCATGCTCAATGTTTCTTCTTTCTCTTTCCTTTGTGGATCTGAAAAATTTCTTGTACTTCAGTCATGACAAAACCTTTTGATTGCACAGAGATTGATAGTCCCTGTCTCCATCAATCAGACATACAAATTAATGTTATTTTCTTGTGAACAGAAGGCCGTATTTTTGCTAGTGACATAATGAGAAAAAAATTAAACAAAACATGACATTTCAAATTTTTAATGTGTGCTTTGCTTCAGATTTCATTGGAAATTTTGTTTCAGTTCAAAAGTAAGAATTTTCAAAGGTTTTTTTCCACTTGTACAATCCTAACTTTTGCTTTACGGAAGAAAATGTTTTTCATCAGAATAGCAAGAGCATATTAGGTTCCTTTTAGGATGAGCCTTCAGTCCATACGTAAGTAGATTGTCCCAGGTATGAACAGCAAGTTGCTGATTTTTCGTCCGAGCTGTAGTACGTAAGAGAAGGAATAATAACGAAAATGATAAAAAATAATAAAGGTAGATAGTGAGCAAAAATTCACGCTCCCTTCCAATACTCAAATTCATTGAAGTAGGCTCAGAGTGAACAAAAGGAAGTATTTCTTTATGATGCATATAGGTAATCTGTGCAGCCCATGGCTGCAGGATGTTGTAGATGCAAAAAGTTTATGCCAGTTCAAGTATTGCTTAGACAAACTCAAAGATTGGATTTACACAAACACCACCACTGTGAATTTGAGAAATTCTTGACACAAAAAATCACTGGAAACAGTGGATGAATTTGTACTCTGTGTGTCTGTCCTTTTTACACTCTCTCACCTAATCACCTGCTGTTGGCCAGTGTTGAAATTTGTCCTGGACAGATGGAGTCTTGCCCCAATCCATGCCCTGCCTTGATGTTCTGAAATAATGAGAGAAACATTCATAATATGTATTTCTAAGAGTTAATGTAGAAAATTACTACTTTTTCTAAAGCTTTAATAATTTTCTCTTGCAATATTTCAACTCCATCTTCACAGCTGATAACAAAAAAATCTAGATGTGTGCAAATTTTTGTGTAGAAATTCAGTCAACAAAGCTAAATTTTTCCTGTTTCATATGATATTGTATTTATAATTTATTAAACAGCGTTTTTTCGCAAGACAGGCTTGCATTGTTCTTGAGATTTGATCTCTTTCAGTTTTCTTGGTGTCTGCAATAAGCATGTTTAAAATATTACTGGAAGGGTTTTTTTCATGTTGCTCACATAATTCACAATGCAGATTAAAAACCCCACAAGGGCTGTGCTAGCCAACAAAAATTGTTCTCAGCCATGGGTCGCCATTTTGCTCTTAAAGACTAAACTTCTTTTTCCTTGAACAATATATCACATTTAGTATTGCAAAATCAAAAGCTACTTTTACAGTTTCTCCTTATCATATTTCATAACAATAAATTAGAGGCAGGAAAGGGAAACAGAGCAAATAGACTATATAGGCAACTTTTTACTAATACCTGTATGGAAACAAATACTGCTGTATTTGCAGTACATTACTGGTGTTCTAATGTTTGCTCTTTTTCATAAATATAAGTGAAAAGTAAATCTAGAGTATATATTTATATAGGAAGGAAACTCAATGAAAATTCTGTAAAAACAGAAATGAGTTTGGATGCAATAATGAATGTCCACAGCACTGGTTTTGCTTTTCTGATAATGGTTGTTCTTCTGTTTTTTTATGTTAACAATGTTTAACTCTTTTGCATTGCATTTGACTATATAGCCCAACTCACTGTCACTGGGTATGTTGAGGCTAAGAACTTGATGCACTTTTCAATAGACTTTTTTAATAGATAAATAGGATGTTCATCATTGGTTTTAGCGGGATTAACAGTAATAATAATTTCAAATTGTTTGAA